TTTTTTTTTTAATAAAATGAATTCTCTAACCAAATAAATTGATATTTAATCCACAACTTAAATCTTAAATTAGTTTATCAAATGACACTTTCTCACGTATACATCCAACCCCCCAGATAACGCATCATATTCATCTCACAAAGAGAGCTTTATGATATATAATAATAATGAAATAGTAATTATAATAAATATTATTATTTATTCGATAAGAGCGCTTTCCCAAAAAAACAAAATGATTAGAGCAAACATAATTAAACTAATAAGCTCTACTCCATAAATATCATGTAACATTTTTATAGGATTATATTTGCAATCATAATTAAAGCGCCCATCAATTGAATCCTGCATTTAACAAATCACAGATTTTTTTCAAAGGAAGTATGACCTAATTTTTATCTTCTTCTAGTCATCGGAAGCATGATTGGTTGATGACGTTTATTGGGGAGTAAATTCTGAAAAAATATCTTTGTTGGATGCTGCATGTCTTACGTGTGTGGATGGGAGGAACGGAATGTCCTGCAGTACACTGGTCATAATGGATGTCGTTGCGTACCTCATAATAACGTAAACAACAAACTTGCAGTTTTTTTTTTTTTTTTTTGGTTTTTTTTTAAGTAGGCAAATAATTGCAGATATTTGTGTTCCGATTCTGTGAAGGAGGATGAAAATGGAGAATCTGGATGAAATTGAAAGCAAACGAGTGGACGACGTACATCCGTACGGGAATGGGGAGGAAGGAAACTTCGGAGAAAGGACAGAACGCTTCAGTTGTGTGGTGTATGGTTTGTTAACTGAAAAAGGAAATTGTTTGAAAATTAAGTGCCACCTAACACTCGCTGCCTCTTTTCCGAGTATCATGTAGCCTTAGATGCATTAGAAAAATTAAAGAAATAATTGATATATCTTTTAATTTAATATATTTAATAATATTTATTAATTTAATTATTAAAATTTATTTTTAAAAATTTTTTCATTTAGAATTTAAATTTGAAAATATTAATTTCTCAATAAATGAATCGATAAGTATTGTTAAGTGTGTTAAATCAGAAGATATATCTATAATTATCTGAAAAATTATTCTGCAATTTAAACATATTAAACAAAAGTAGATAAATAAATAGGGTAATTCACTTGCTACATTAATGTTTGAATTTTTTTCTCTTTGGCAAAAACCATGTTTGAGAATCGGCCACTTTGATTTAAGGATGACAAAACTACTATAAAGAGTTGTTCTTGGATATATATATAAAAACCTATGAGGAGTTGTTTTTTGTTTTGAAAAAATGATACTGATTTTGTTTTGTATAATGTAACATTGTAGTAAAGTTTATACTATCCATTTACTTGTCTTGCGCATATTGTATGATTAAAATTTAGACTTTAAGTTTTAATAATATATACTTTATTTTTTTATCTTAAGTTTTAATAATATGTTTAATAAAAAGAGACAACTCTAAATTATTTAAATCATTAATAAAAGTCAATAATTATAAAGTTTTTATAGTTACAATATTAAGATTGACTTCATTTAATATGATTGTAATTTTGAGTTTTTGATTTTAATTTTTAAAATTTATACTCAAAATTTAAAATTTAGTTAGTTTATAAAATTACTTAATTTTATTTTAGTGTTTTTAAAATTTTAAAAATTAAAACTAAAAATTTATAAACGGATTCTAAATTTTGCATACTGCTTACTCTTATGTGACACCAAAATTACGTGACACTAAATGTAAGAAACATTTTTCTCATCACCTTTTTTCCAAGAGAAGAAAAAAAAAACAAACAAACAAAAAGTAAGAAACTTTCTTACATTAATTAGCAAAGTGTCAAATTAGGGAAAGGGGAAAGGAAACTTCCCCAGTAAATAGGTCCTTGTGAGGACCTATATAAATATTCATGGTTGAATTTAATCCATTATCCCATCTCAAAAACAATGTTTACTCTGAACTGAAGAACATCGTGGCCGGCGACTCCTTCTACGTTTACCAAACTTCAGGTAAAGATCTCTTTCAATATTTTATTTCATTTTTTTTTAAAAAAAAAAAACTTTCTACATTCATATTGTTCATACTAAAAAATGTGAAGTGGGTAGTGTTCGGTAATAGGAGAAAAATCCCTATACGCAATCATATTTTAATTTCATTTAAAAAAAATTTTAATCTAATTTAGGTATCGGAGTTGGAGTCGTTTTGGAAGAAGCATCTCGAAATAGAGAAAGACAAAGAATGTAGGAAATTATTGGTTTCAATTTTCTGTTTTGGAAATAGTGTGGCCCTGGCCCTGGCCCCTGGAATTTCTAGTTTCCACGGAATCAGTTGTACTTGGTCCGGTTTGAGTAAATACTTTAAATTTCAATCAAAATCAAGGATGGAAAAGCTTGTTGCACAAAATTGGATTTAGCCAAAATTTTCAACTTTAAAGAGTTGTTTTCCTTTCGGTACCAAGGATTGGAAAACCAGTTCTCTCTTCTCATCTTCAAATACATAATTAGTACACTTGTACCTAAATATCATTTCTTGGACTTATTTCTTTTTTTTTGAAAATAGGTAATGAGGACTTATTATTAGTTTCTTGGTTTTGTTCGAGGTATCTTGAAACTGAGCCCTCCTCTTTTTCATCTGATCTGATCAAATGCAAGTTGAGGTTGCCATGTCTGGAAAAAATCTTTTAATATCTTAACTTTCAAGATTTTGAAAAATATTAATATTTTAATTTAATTATATTTATGTTCAATGTCTACACAAGTATCAAGGAATTGATTAAAAGTTACTTTTTTGTTTCTTAAAATATACATTGTTGAATAAAAAACTTTCACATAAAAAATATAACAAAAAAGAAATGAGTTTAAATGCTCAATTTTTATACAAATTATACAATAATAAATTCAAATCTATAATTGGTCACGGGTATAGTCGGTCCAAAAAATTTAGAAAGAAGTGTAGCTAAATATCAGGAATATTTCAAAAGCAGGAAAATATCTGTGGATGGCAACGCCAGAAAGCGCCATTTCCTTCCACCGCCCATGCCCCATGTCCAGAAATCGGACACTGGGTTTTGGATTCAGTCTCCCGTCCAAGCAAATCTTGCAATCCAAAGAAAACCAACAGACCCACATGCACATGTAATTAGACGTACAGATGGAGAGCTTCCGCGAAGTTTCCTCTGTTACATCTCTGCAAGCTTAGTGCTGCCTGTTTTAGCACGTTAAGTAATATATGTTGTCCCAATATGTTGTCTCAAAATTTACAGTTGCAAGGACAACAGTTTGCGTAAGATTTTGGACAATACAAAAATACATACTAGAATCTGGCCATAGTGAAAGGTGGTAATCATACAAAAATTTGTTAATGATAGGAATGTGTGGCAAAGAGAAAGAAATTTCCAGGAACTTTCCTGCCTGGCTTGTTGTTTTCATTTCAATGTCATTATGGGTTTTGTTTGGTTATTAATTCAGGTTTTGTTTGTTACTGATTAATGACTTCATAAAAATCAGTCGCACTCGTTGGTGCCAGGTGTGGTCCACTGTACAGTCCACGGAGGAAGAACTTAATTTTCAAGGCCACAGGAAAATTTCATCATAAGACTCGAATTATTCATCAATTGTCTCTTTTTAAATGTAAGTCTCGCTACTAGCAGCCCTCATAGTCATCTATGATTTGTAAGTACCATTATATATATATATATATATTTATAAGGATAATGATTAACAAGTTAGTGTGAGTTAATTGTTAACAATTGATTCTCAAATCGGGTGAACATTTCATCCCCTCAAATGAGGCGTACGATCATTAGGTCACTTTTTTGTGAAATTTACGATAATAATTGAGCTCTCAAAATTTCGATCACCTCACCCAAACACTTAAAACTTAGATCGAACTATTGAACCACAAGGCCTGATTCTTGTAAGTACCATTATAGGTCTTCAATGATGGGACTGGTGCCATGCGATTGGACTGGTTAACCTTCTCTTTCTCCACCTCAACTTCTATCTCAGTTTGTGTAAAGGAGGGCTTTCATGTTCCGTATATAGTGCCCGGTGTACAACATAATCAGCAACAAATTAAGTTTAAAAATGACTACGAAAACCTTTTATAATGGGTTAATTTAACAAATTATTTATTAATTTTTATATTTTTTTAATTTTATTTATTATATTTGAATTCTTTCAATCATGTCTATTAACTTTCACATTTATTTCAATTTCATCTTACCCGTTATATTTAATTGAAATATTCATTATCTTTAACAGAATCTTCTTATTTTTTAATAAAATATTTAGTTCTCTAACTATATTTCTTTTGATATTTTAATTCTTAAATTTATATTTATCGTAAAAATAGTTTTTAATCTTATCTTACTAAATGTGATCTTCAAAAAACTATTTTACAGAATAGACTGTATGTAGTCTGTCTTATGAAATTATTTAAATGCCTTTAATTTTATTTTTATATTATTTTTTAGGAACATTTAAATAATTTTTTAAGACAGACTGTATATAATCTGTCCTGTAAAATAAATTAGTTACTCACGTTTATTACAAATTTTAATTAATCTATCTCTATAAAATATGTCTTGAGTCATCATATTTTATTAGGATTATTGTGTTACTTTTTCAAAACTTAAAAGATTACTCTTTTGGTTAAATCTAACCAAATTTTGTACTGCTAGATTATTTTGAAATATTTTCAAAGTTTATAAACCATTTAGAAAGAAACTAAACTTTTTACATTAAAATGAAATCAAACTAATAGTTAATAGACTAAAAATTGAATTAAACCTTTTACAATCTTCGCTGCATCAATGAGATGAAAAAATGTTTCAAGAAAATTACATATGACAACCATTGATTTGTGGCTGATTATGACTGCTGCTAGCAGAAATACAAAATTTAACGTTGGCTTCAAGTGGTCAACTATGGGCTGCATCTGGTCTTGGAACAATATGTGCTCTGGGAGTGATGCAAGACACCCTTGATCCCACCCTATGCTTCACCTCTAGCCTAGCATTCTCACAGCCCGTGGAGAATAGTGACACATCCTCCTTTCCAATCTTCGTCTCTAGCTCATTAAAAGTGCTGGCCAAGTCAACCCTGTGCACATTCCTGCCATATTCAGTAGAGAAAAATATCAACTTCAATTCTATTACCTTTTCTGGGTAAGTCGTTTCTACTTTTAACTGCATCACAGCAAACATTAACTCAGTATTTTAACACTACCTTGTTCATTTCACACAGGAACTGCTTTGTTATTCTTTGGCTTGTAAGAATTGAGGATAAAGCAAAGCGACTTAATCACGTTAGGATACTGTTTCACGTCTGCAAGCAGACAAAAAGATAAAC